GAGAGAGAGAGAGAGAGAGAGAGAGAGAGAGAGAGAGAGAGAGAGAGAGAGAGAGAGAGAGAGAGAGAGAGAGAGAGAGAGAGGAGGAAGCAGAGAAGGAGAGGGGGAGAGGAGGGGGGGGGGAGAGAGAGGGAGGGAAAGGGGGTGTGACAAGAGTGAGATAGGTCAACAGGTATTTCACCTCCACCAGTAATGTAGGGGGAATTGGGCACGTTTCTTTCCACACGATGCCCCTGTTCACCTAGCAGTAAATAGGCACTAATTTGGAGTTATGCCACGTTCCTGGAGCGGCATCCTAGGGAGGGGGCTCAGTCCAAGCGACCCTGAGGGGGCATATATATATATATCCCGGCTTCCTGTCCCCGACAACGGGACTTATATATGGAGACGTCAGCCACAGTCTAACACAAAGTGCTCCATGATATATCCACCATGGAAAACTGGTGAGACTGTTAGAATGGATTTTATCGCCAGCAATTTGGCTGGAGACAGCGCCTGTAAATCTTGGAGATGTCCCCCCCCCCCTCCTCCAGTCCCCCAGGACACTCCTCCAGTCCCCCAGGACACTCCTCCAGTCCCCAGGACACTCCTCCAGTCCCCCAGGACACTCCTCCAGTCCCCAGGACACTCCTCCAGTCCCCCAGGACACTCCTCCAGTCCCCCAGGACACTCCTCCAGTCCCCAGGACACTCCTCCAGTCCCCAGGACACTCCTCCAGTCCCCAGGACACTCCTCCAGTCCCCAGGACACTCCTCCAGTCCTCAGGACACTCCTCCAGCCCTCAGGACACTCCTCCAGTCCCCAGGACACTCCTCCAGTCCCCAGGACACTCATCCAGTCCCCAGGACACTCCTCCAGTCCCCAGGACACTCCTCCAGTCCCCAGGACACTCCTCCAGTCCCCAGGACACTCCTCCAGTCCCCAGGACACTCCTCCAGTCCCCAGGACACTCCTTCAGTCCCCAGGACACTCCTCCAGTCCCCAGGACACTCCTCCAGTCCCCAGGACACTCCTCCAGTCCCCAGGACACTCCTCCAGTCCCCAGGACACTCCTCCAGTCCACAGGACACTCCTCCAGTCCCCAGGACACTCCTCCAGTCCCCAGGACACTCCTTCAGTCCCCAGGACACTCCTCCAGTCCCCAGGACACTCCTCCAGTCCCCAGGACACTCCTCCAGTCCCCAGGACACTCACTCTCACTCACTCTTTCTTTCACTCTCACTCACTCTCACTCTTTCTCTCACTCTCACTCACTCTCACTCTTTCTCTCACTCTCATCTCTGGCTCTGTGCTTCTTTCTCTTCTCCTCCCCCTTAATGGCCCTGAAAGAAATGTTATTATCAGAAAGCTATAAATATCGAATCTTCTTGAATATCTCTTTTTAAAAGAGAGCAAATGTGCGTTGTTTATGTGAGTGTGGATATTCCCTCCCCCCTCCCCCTCATACACACATATATACATATATACACATATTATATATATATATAATATATGTATATGTGGGAGCTGGGACGCTCAGGGCCGGGGCGTCCCAGACGGAAAACGAGAAGGAAAGATGTGAGGTACTAACCGAATGATGTATCTAGGGGGAAACATGATTACTCCGTACGAAATATTCAAATTAATAGGCTTCGACACGGACCACACCACATGCCACCCACCAGCACCCACACCCCCAGCACCCACACACCCACTCTGCCATCCACACCCCCAGCCTCCACACCCCCAGCACCCACACCCCCAGCACCCACACACCCACTCTGCCATCCACACCCCCAGCCTCCACACCCCCAGCACCCACACCCCCAGCACCCACACCCCCAGCACACACACCCCAGCAGCCCCCACACCCCCAGCAGCCCCCACACCCCCAGCAGCCCCCACACCCCCAGCAGCCCCCACACCCCCAGCAGCCCCCACACCCCCAGCAGCCCCCACACCCCCAGCAGCCCTCACACCCCCAGCAGCCCCCACACCCCCAGCAGCCCCCACACCCCAGCAGCCCCCACACCCCCAGCAGCCCCCACACCCCCAGCAGCCCCCACACCCCCAGCAGCCCCCACACCTGTGGGCCGCTCCAAGCAACAGCCTGGTGGACCAAACTCTCACAAGTCAAGTCTGGCCTCGGGCCGGGCTTGGGGAGTAGAAGAACTCCCAGAACCCCATCAACCAGGTATATGTGGGCCTGCGGGCCGCTCCAAGCAACAGCCTGGTGGACCAAACTCTCACAAGTCAAGTCTGGCCTCGGGCCGGGCTTGGGGAGTAGAAGAACTCCCAGAACCCCATCAACCAGGTATATGTGGGCCTGCGGGCCGCTCCAAGCAACAGCCTGGTGGACCAAACTCTCACAAGTCAAGTCTGGCCTCGGGCCGGGCTTGGGGAGTAGAAGAACTCCCAGAACCCCATCAACCAGGTATATGTGGGCCTGCGGGCCGCTCCAAGCAACAGCCTGGTGGACCAAACTCTCACAAGTCAAGTCTGGCCTCGGGCCGGGCTTGGGGAGTAGAAGAACTCCCAGAACCCCATCAACCAGGTATATGTGGGCCTGCGGGCCGCTCCAAGCAACAGCCTGGTGGACCAAACTCTCACAAGTCAAGCCTGGCCTCGGGCCGGGCTTGGGGAGTAGAAGAACTCCCAGAACCCCATCAACCAGGTATATGTGGGCCTGCGGGCCGCTCCAAGCAACAGCCTGGTGGACCAAACTCTCACAAGTCAAGCCTGGCCTCGGGCCGGGCTTGGGCAGTAGAAGAACTCCCAGAACCCCATCAACCAGGTATCATACGGAACCGTTTAGGACATGTCTGTAAATACGTGTAAATACGTGTAAATACACGAATTATTTACCTTTTGGAATAGGTAGATACGTGTCACTCAGAGACCCATCAGGTGCTTGTGGGGAGGGAGGGGTGGGGGAGGAGGGGTTATGGGTAAGGGACGGTGTAGAACGGATGATAGGAAGGGGACAGGCAGACAGGTAGAGATGGAGATACAGATTGGTAGGAAAAGGAGAGGGTGAAAGGGAAGGGTGGGGGGGGGGGTAAGGCAGTGGGTGAGGAGGTAGGGGGGAAGAGAGGTGTTGACACAGGTGTTTTAAACACGTGTGAATTAGACTCGAATACAGGCAAATTTGAAACAAAAAATGGAATTCACATGTTTACTCTTGTGTGTTGGAGCCTGCAGCTCTGAGACTGTTGTTGTTGTTACAACAGCGGATAATAAGTCACACTTCCTGAGAGACGTCTCTCACCTTCCTGAGAGACGTCTCTCACCTTCCTGAGAGACGTCTCTCACCTTCCTGAGAGACGTCTCTCACCTTCCTGAGAGGCGTCTCTCACCTTCCTGAGAGAAGTCTCTCACTTTCCTGAGAGAAGTCTCTCACCTTCCTGAGAGACGTCTCTCACCTTCCTGAGAGACGTCTCTCACCTTCCTGAGAGACGTCTCTCACCTTCCTGAGAGACGTCTCTCACCTTCCTGAGAGGCGTCTCTCACTTTCCTGAGAGAAGTCTCTCACCTTCCTGAGAGACGTCTCTCACCTTCCTGAGAGACGTCTCTCACCTTCCTGAGAGACGTCTCTCACTTATTGGGAGAAAGTTTCTGGGGGGGACTTTAGGGCGGGCGGATGACACTCTTGATGGCAGAAACTTGTCCCCGTAAGAAAGTTGTCCCCGGAAAAAAAGTTATTTAGACCAGCATGTATAGACAGTGGGAAGAAAGTCGCCCGGGAAAAGAATGTTATACAAGGAAGAAAATCGTCTGGGAAAGAATATGAACATGTCCAGCTCTGTCTGTCTGTCTCTGTCTCTCTCTCTCTCTCTCTCTCTCTCTCTCTCTCTCTCTCTCTCTCTCTCTGGGGTCGTGTGTGTCTACCTGTAGCCGCTCCGTGCTTGGCGGTGTTGACACAATGGCGTCTTCTGCTCCTCTAGGAACGCTCAAGAGGGCACCGCAGACATCTTCTGCTCCTTCTGCTCCTCAAGAGGGCGCCGCAGACACGCTCCACCCCCAGAGAACAATAACACGCTGGGAAAATGCCTAGGATATGATCGCTCCTGGGTGCTGGGATGGTCTCCTGGGTGCTGGGATGGTCTTCTGGGGGCTGAGATGGTCTGCTGGTTGCTGGGATGGTCTCCTGGGTGCTGGGATGGTCTCCTGGGTGCTGAGATGGTCTGCTGGGTGCTGGGATGGTCTCTTGGGTGCTGGGCTCGTCTCCTGGGTGCTGGGATGATTTCTCCTGAGCAATCTTTCTCGACGCGTTAAAAAACCTTGATTAGGATTCGAACCTGGGCACAGGGTACTCCCAGGAACACACCCTAAACATTCTCCTGGGTCCTTGAGGCTTCCACCGAAGCCCAATCAGGACTCCCTGAAGGATTCAGGGGAATCCTCGGATGAATTGCTTTTTTGAGCATGTGATGGCTAGGTTGGTTAGGGCGTATTCTTGGACGTACCCAGTGTGCTGGTGCGATTCCTCGCGGTGGCTTCTACAATTTTTTTTTCTCATTGATGCATCACGTTAATGTGATTTTTCTGTGTACCTGCTGCATGGGTAACAGCTTTTCCTCCATATCGACCTACCCAGGCTTTGCGTAGGTTTAGTCTCCCACTGCCTACTGCTATTACTACAACTAATAATAATGATAATAATGTGATAATCTGTAGGGGCTGTAAAGAGGATTCGAACCTATGTGGTGGGTAGTACCAGGCACACCGGCCCCAGACAATCGGGAATACCCACCGCATAGGTTCGAATCGTCATGACGGCTCCGGCGGATTTTATTGTTGGTGCAGTCTTGTTAGTGTGGTTACTCTCTGTGTGTGACACTGGAGGTGAAGGGTGTGGCACAGGTCACGACAGTGAAGGTGAAGGGTATGGCACAGGTCATGACAGTGAAGATGAAGGGTGTGGCACAGGTCACAACAGTGAAGGTGAAGAGCGCACCTCACCATGACGCAAACTCTATACATCTGTTGCAAGGAAACAATGCATTCAGAGAACAGTTGTGCTAACTTCGTAAAGCCGGTGTTACTAGTGTAAACAAGGACATGTGTGTGTGCTCCCTGACAAGCAGCTGTGTAGGGACACAGTTCTCAAGCACGTTACCCCCCCTCCAACCTCTATGCTTTAACCCCCAACTAACCTTCCTTTCAGATCTAGAGAGGAGAGAGTAGTGTGAGAGGAAGTGAGTGAATCAGAAGTGTGACAGTGGAGACCGGAGGAGAGCAGAAGGTAGCCACAGTGTGGTGCTGTAAGAACCCAGCCAGGATGAGCGTGGCTCGGGTCCTCAGCCCACTCAGGCTCAACACCCCTGAGAAGAATGGCAAGCCTAGTGAGTACCCCAGCCCCCTAGTACTTCCTTCCACCCAGTCAGTACTCATCCCCTCTCTTCAGCCTATAACATGTCCACCCAGTGAGTACTGACTCATTTTGTGTTTTTCAATTCGGTTCGAAGGACGTGTGTATTGGACAGCGTCAACCATCCTGTGAGTATACATTTTGCCGTAACAGTATTTACAACTTCCCATCACCGAAACACAGAGAACAGTAATGTGGTCGATCATGGTCACAGACAACGGTAATGTGGTGATCTCTGAAGGAGGGTAACAGTATCTTGCGAATACCATGAATCAGCCACAGTTTCTCATTATCAGTCCTCCATTTTGATCTCAAAAGACAACTGCATTCTAAGTTTAACTTCATTACGTTTGATCCATCAATAATCCAAGTTTGTACTGATAAATTACATAGCAATTCCCTGCAATTTACGTGTTGATTTCCTTGAAACAGTAGAAAGTTCTAAGCCACGTGGTTTATACACGTAGATGACGTGTTCGTTTACTGTTGACATCTTGAGTTCCAGGGACGAGAGAGAGAGAGAGAGAGAGAGAGAGAGAGACAGAGAGACAGAAAGAAAGAGAGTAGCACGAATTTGGTCCTTAAGGAAAAGACATTTCAATTGATTTTGGGGTCCTGGGCGGGAGTGTGGTGACGGGGAGAAGAGACGGAGTCCGGGGAGAGTGGAAGAGAAATGAAGAGAGAGAGGAGGAGGAAGACGAAAAGATTCACTGTGGCACCAGACAAGTTCTTCCGTCCATTTCCTTACCTTTGTCTGATCCATGTAAGACATCTTCTCTTGCACCCTCTGCGTCCTGGCTGCCACACTTCTCAATCCCTGTAGGTACTGAGCCATGGTGTGGCACCACCCCCACCAGGTACTGGGCCATGGTGTGGCCTCACCACCATCAGGTACTGGGCCATGGTGTGGCCTCACCACCATCAGGTACTGGGCCATGGTGTGGCCTCACCACCATCAGGTACTGGGCCATGGTGTGGCCTCACCACCATCAGGTACTGGGCCATGGTGTGGCCTCACCACCATCAGGTACTGGGCCATGGTGTGGCCATCTCAACACCGACCACCTCCTGTCTGCCTGTAAGATCATTCAACTTTAACACCCCCGCGGTCTCTGGCTCACTTGGCGCCTTTCTGCTATAACTACGCTATTTTATCCTCGTCTTAATGGTGGTGTTTATATGATATTAACCTCCCGTTGGAGGAGGATGTTTATATAATATTAAGTCCTTGTTTTCGTATATACACTTATTGCGAAACTAGACGAGATATCCCACCTGCAGGGCCCCAGTCTGGCTGTGTCTGAGAGAGAGAGAGAGAGAGAGAGAGAGAGAGAGAGAGGTGGAACATAGGAATAACTAGTTGAAGAGAGGACGAGTGACATGCTGGAGTTGAGTAGTGGAATAACTCCCAGGGGTGAAGGGGGAGAGGAGCTGTCAGTCTCGTCTGATGTATTCCATCAACTTAACCGAGTTTGTGTTGCGGATTGTGTTTAACTCCCGTGAGCTCGGACGTGTATGTGTGTGTGTGTACTCACCTATTTGTACTCACCTATTTGTGCTTGCGGGGGTTGAGCTTTGGCTCTTTGGTCCCGCCTCTCAACTGTCAATCAACTGGTGTACAGATTCCTGAGCCTACTGGGCTCTATCATATCTACATTTAAAACTGTGTATGGAGTCAGCCTCCACCACATCACTGCCTAGTGCATTCCATCCGTTAACTACTCTGACACTGAAAAAGTTCCTTCTAACGTCTCTGTGGCTCATGTGGGTACTCAGTTTCCACCTGTGTCCCCTTGTTCGCGTCCCACCAGTATTGAATAGTTTATCCTTGTTTACCCGGTCGATTCCTCTGAGGATTTTGTAGGTTGTGATCATGTCTCCCCTTACTCTTCTGTCTTCCAGTGTCGTAAGGTGCATTTCCCGCAGCCTTGTGTGTGTGTGTGTGTACTCACCTAGTTGTACTCACCTAGTTGTGTTTGCGGGGGTTGAGCTTTGGCTCTTTGGTCCCGCCTCTCAACTGTCAATCAACTGGTGTACAGATTCCTGAGCCTACTGGGCTCTATCATATCTACATTTGAAACTGTGTATGGAGTCAGCCTCCACCACATCACTGCCTAATGCATTCCATCTGTTAACTACTCTGACACTGAAAAAGTTCTTTCTAACGTCCCTGTGGCTCATTTGGGTACTCAGTTTCCACCTGTTTCCCCTTGTTCGCGTACCACCCGTGTTAAACAGTTTATCTTTGTCTACCCTGTCAATTCCTATAAGAATTTTGTAGGTTGTGATCATGTCTCCCCTTACTCTTCTGTCTTCCAGTGTCGTGAAGTGCATTTCTCGCAGCCTTTCCTCGTAACTCATGCCTCTTAGTTCTGGGACTAGCCTAGTGGCATACCTCTGAACTTTTTCCAGCTTCGTCTTGTGCTTGACAAGGTACGGGCTCTATGCTGGGGCCGCATACTCCAGGATTGGTCTTACATATGTGGTATACAAGATTCTGAATGGTTCCTTACACAGGTTCCTGAAGGCAGTTCTGATGTTAGCCAGCCTCGCATACGCCGCTGATGTTATTCTTTTGATGGGGGCTTCAGGAGATAAGTTTGGTGTGATATCAACTCCTAGATCTTTCTCTCTGTCCGTTTCATGAAGGACTTCATCTCCCTTTCTGTATTCTGTGACGAGTCCTGTTTCCACTGCCTGCGGGACTCCACTGGTGACGCCTCGCCAATCTGAGACCTCGCCCCTCACAGTGACTCACTGTCTTCTGTTGCTTAGGTACTCCCTTATCCAATGGAGTACCTTCCTTTTTACTCCTGCCTGCATCTGCAGCTTGTGCACTAGCCTCTTGTGTGGTACTGTGTCAAAGGCTTTCTGGCAATCCAAAAATTTGCAGTCTGTTCACCCCTCTCTTTCTTGCTTGATTTTTGTTGCCAGATCGTAGAATTCAATTAATCCTGTGAGGCAGGACCTGCCATCCCTGAACCCATGTTGGTGCTGTGTTACAAAGTTCCTTTCCTCCAGATGTTCCACTTATTTTGCACAATCTTCTCCATCAGCTTGCATGGTATGCAAATTAGGGACACTGGCCTGTGTGGCCATTTGGCTTTTAATTGAAAATAACCTCTAGCTCCTGGGCTCCGACTTCTGTCTACTGGATGTCTTCATATTTCAACCCATCCCCCTGAAATGATAGTACTTTTTTGTAACCATTGGGTCGATAGTACCACTATGCACTATTGGGGCTCGAGTAAGACACTTTTTGTCCTTATAATCCCCCCAAAAAAGCTAAAAAATCAAACTTAAATATTCCTAAGCCTAGTATAGCACATGTAAGTACTATATTAGGCCTAGTACATAGGCCTTACATATATTATAACTTTCGGTTTGTCCAAATTCAGTAATACACAAGTGTACTTTCTGGTGGTCTATCACGACATGTGTGTGAGTACTTTCAACCACATTATTACTATAAGTACTTCCATTTTAGTAGCATGTACTGTTATAGTTACCTCTCTGTGCATTGATACGTCTTGAAGAACCATGGGAACGTCTCAAAGAACCATGGGAACGTCTCAAAGAACCATGGGAACGTCTCAAAGAACCATGGGAACGTCTCAAAGAACCATGTGAACGTCTCAAAGAACCATGGGAACGTCTCAAAGAACCATGGGAACGTCTCAAAAAAACATGGGTACGTTTTGAAGAACCATGGGAACGTTTTGAAGAACCATGGACGCATCAACATGAGCAAGAGACGCGAAGAACAGAGGACACATCTTGAAGAACAACAACAATAATGTTCTGTCGAGTTTTACGATCTCAAAAGGCAAAGTGCCTGGCGCTCGCTGCTGAAATATATATATATCTGTTAGATGTAAGGCCTTGGAGGAAGAGCAGCGGTAAGGACACACACACACTCGCTCAGGAGACAAGTTGAGAGGCGGAACCAAAGAGCCAGAGCTCAACCCCCGCAAGTACAACTAGATTAGTACAACATATTTAGCAAGTGTGTGTGTGTGTGGTGGTGGTGGTGGAGATGCAGGATAGGTTTGAGCAGAATTCTCCCTCTTCCTCTCCCTCTGTCTCTCTCTCTCTCTCTCTCTCTCCCAGCCTCCTTTCAGGTCTCCTGCTTGAAATGCTACATCGAAATTGCATCAGATTTGGCACAGAACATCGGTGGTAAAGTCCTGTTATGGACTATTTTGCTGTGAAGGTCCGGGGCTCCCGTTGCTGGTAGATTGGTTCACCAATTACTCGTTACAGACGAGGAGTTACAATAACGTGGCTGAAATATGTTGACCAAACCACACACTGGAAAGTGACGGGACGACGACGTTTCGGTCCGTCCTGGACCATTCTCAATCGACTCGAGAATGGTCCAGGATGGACCGAAATGTCGTCGTCGTCCCTTCACATTCTAGTGTGTGGTCTAGTCAACAATTTCTCGTTCTGTTTTCTGCAGAAGACGCTTCATTTATATAAACATTTCAACATTTAAACCAATTGCTTCACGGTTTGTTAGACACGCGAAAGGCAGAGGCACGAGTCTCGGGGAGGGAGGACAGGTTATATGGTAATATATCCTGAACTATTTTTGTTTAGCAATCTAATTTGTGGTAAATCTAAGGTTGTGGTTTAATTATGATGGGTTGGTGGCACACACACACACACACACACACACACACTTAAATGTAGATATGATAGAGCCCAGTAGGCTCAGGAACCTGTACACCAGTTGATTAACAATTGAGAGGCGGGACCAAAGAGCCAGAGCTCAACCCCGCATGCACAGCTTGGTGAGTACAACTAGACGAGATACACACACACACACACACACACACACACACACACACACACACACACACACACACACACACACACACACACACACACACACACACACACACAGACACAGGCACAGACACACACACACACACACACACACACACACACACACACACACACACACACACACACTGAATACTGAGTATAGTCTCGTGGTCCCCCAGACACGCTGAGATAAGCCCTCTTCACCTCCCTCACTAAACCATCCTCATAACACACGTTCTCCCTGCCTTCACAGCCGCCTAATTAGACCCAGTTGATCAATAACCCCCCCCCCAGGTTGAGCGCCAGTCTTGCCTCTAAGACATTGCTGGACCAGCGGTCGGTGCTGCTGCTGCCTGGCTGCTTGTAAGTGGCTTCCTGTAAGCGGCTCCGTGTTATGGCTTTGGGTCTCTAGTGTTTGCGTGGCAGATCATTAGTGTCTGTGTGCGTGGAAGGGATCATTAGTGCCACACACACACACACACACACACACACTGAGAGCACCATCTCTGCTCATTACTGCCGATATCGCACGAGAGAGACACTATCAACAGTGTACAGTCACGCCAAGATGAGGAGAGACTGTTCAAGATAGGAGAGACTGTTCAAGATAGGAGAGACTGTTCAAGATAGGAGAGACTGTTCAAGATAGGAGAGACTGTTCAAGATTACGGTCGCGCCTTCAAAGTTCTTTTATCACCATACACACAGCTAGAACTGATGAAGAGAAGGCACGGTGAAATGTCGAGGTCAGGAACGAGGAACTAGACCTCAGGAACGAGGGACCAGACCTCAGGAACCAGACCTCAGGAACGAGGGACCAGACCTCAGGAACCAGACCTCAGGAACGAGGGACCAGACCTCAGGAACCAGACCTCAGGAACGAGGGACAAGACCTCAGGAACCAGACCTCAGGAACGAGGGACCAGACCTCAGGAACGAGGGACCAGACCTCAGGAACGAGGGACCAGACCTCAGGAACCAGACCTCAGGAACGAGGGACCAGACCTCAGGAACCAGACCTCAGGAACCAGACCTCAGGAACGAGGGACAAGACCTCAGGAACCAGACCTCAGGAACGAGGGACCAGACCTCAGGAACCAGACCTCAGGAACGAGGGACCAGACCTCAGGAACCAGACCTCAGGAACCAGACCTCAGGAACGAGGGACAAGACCTCAGGAACCAGACCTCAGGAACGAGGGACAAGACCTCAGGAACCAGACCTCAGGAACGAGGGACCAGACCTCAGGAACGATGAACCAGACCTCAGGAACGAGGAACCAGACCTCAGGAACGAGGAACCAGACCTCAGGAACGAGGAACCAGACCTCAGGAACGAGGAACCAGACCTCAGGAACGAGGATCCAGACCTCAGGAACGAGGAACCAGACCTCAGGAACGAGGAACCAGACCTCAGGAACGAGGAACCAGACCTCAGGAACCAGACCTCAGGAACGAGGAACCAGACCTCAGGAACGAGGAACCAGACCTCAGGAACGAGGGACCAGACCTCAGGAACCAGACCTCAGGAACCAGACCTCAGGAACCAGACCTCAGGAACGAGGAACCAGACCTCAGGAACGAGGGACCAGACCTCAGGAACCAGACCTCAGGAACCAGACCTCAGGAACCAGACCTCAGGAACCAGACCTCAGGAACCAGACCTCAGGAACGAGGAACCAGACCTCAGGAACGATGAACCAGACCTCAGGAACGAGGAACCAGACCTCAGGAACGAGGAACCAGACCTCAGGAACGAGGGACCAGACCTCAGGAACCAGACCTCAGGAACCAGACCTCAGGAACGAGGGACCAGACCTCAGGAACGAGGAACCAGACCTCAGGAACGAGGAACCAGACCTCAGGAACCAGACCTCAGGAACGAGGAACCAGACCTCAGGAACGAGGAACCAGACCTCAGGAACGAGGGACCAGACCTCAGGAACCAGACCTCAGGAACCAGACCTCAGGAACGAGGGACCAGACCTCAGGAACGAGGAACCAGACCTCAGGAACGAGGAACCAGACCTCAGGAACCAGACCTCAGGAACGAGGAACCAGACCTCAGGAACGATGAACCAGACCTCAGGAACGAGGGACAAGACCTCAGGAACCAGACCTCAGGAACGAGGGACCAGACCTCAGGAACGAGGAACCAGACCTCAGGAACGAGGAACCAGACCTCAGGAACGATGAACCAGACCTCAGGAACGAGGAACCAGACCTCAGGAACGAGGAACCAGACCTCAGGAACCAGACCTCAGGAACGAGGAACCAGACCTCAGGAACGAGGAACCAGACCTCAGGAACCAGACCTCAGGAACCAGACCTCAGGAACGAGGAACCAGACCTCAGGAACGAGGAACCAGACCTCAGGAACGATGAACCAGACCTCAGGAACGAGGGACAAGACCTCAGGAACCAGACCTCAGGAACGAGGAACCAGACCTCAGGAACGAGGGACCAGACCTCAGGAACGATGAACCAGACCTCAGGAACGAGGAACCAGACCTCAGGAACGAGGAACCAGACCTCAGGAACGAGGGACCAGACCTCAGGAACCAGACCTCAGGAACGAGGGACAAGACCTCAGGAACCAGACCTCAGGAACGAGGGACCAGACCTCAGGAACCAGACCTCAGGAACGAGGAACCAGACCTCAGGAACGAGGGACAAGACCTCAGGAACCAGACCTCAGGAACGAGGGACCAGACCTCAGGAACCAGACCTCAGGAACGAGGAACCAGACCTCAGGAACGAGGAACCAGACCTCAGGAACGATGAACCAGACCTCAGGAACGAGGAACCAGACCTCAGGAACGAGGAACCAGACCTCAGGAACGAGGAACCAGACCTCAGGAACCAGACCTCAGGAACGAGGAACCAGACCTCAGGAACGAGGAACCAGACCTCAGGAACGAGGAACCAGACCTCAGGAACGCGGAACCAGACCTCAGGAACGAGGAACCAGACCTCAGGAACGAGGAACCAGACCTCAGGAACGAGGAACCAGACCTCAGGAACGAGGAACCAGACCTCAGGAACACCCGTCCACACAATCTGCAAGAGCCTTAGTGCCTCTAATGACCAGATCCAGCCCTCGAATGATCGTTAAGTTATTAACAACTTGAGCAGTAATGGTCAATCCAACGAGAATGGGAAGTAAACAACACAAAACCATCACCACGTGTACTTCTTAACTATATACACTTGTTACATATGTACATAACACAGCAGGTGTCCCTGTCACACAGGACACTACCAAACAGCCACGATGCAGACGAGGAGTCACACTAACGTGGCTGAAATATGTTGACCAGACCACACACTGGAAGGTGAAGAGTCTTGAGTTAAGGACTGCCCTGGGGCCAGATTTACGAAAGCACTTACGCAAGCACTTGCGAACTAGTACATCTTTTCTCAATCTTTGGCGGCTTTGTTTCCAATTATTAAACAGTTAATGAGCTCCGAAGCACCAGGAGGCTGTTTATAACAATAACAACAGTTGAATGGGAGGTTTTCATGCTTGTAAACTGTTTAATAAATATAACCAAAGCCGTCAAAGATTGAGGAAAGATGTACTCGTTCGTAAGTGCTTGCGTAAGTGCTTTCGTGAATCTTGCCCCTGGGTTACCCGACTCTTGTCGACCAAGGTAACCCTCCACGTCACTTCTGTGGAGTACAAATTGTATAGTAAGAAGGACACTTCACAGGTGTCAGAACAGAAAATGGGGTCGGGTGCGCTCAACAGATGGCGTTGACATCGTCACAGTGTCTACGTCTCTCGCTAAATTTATACCAGTGATATTTAATTTGTCACCCAATCCTTCACGCGTCTGACCTCCCTTCTCCATTTTTACCTGTTATGTATCTGTTAGATGTTTACCTGAGAGACCTCCGTCTCTAGTGGCCTCGACGGGAACAGAAAGCCGACGGCTTGTCAAAATTCCCCCTTTGTTCCTGAGATCTTTTAGTGTTTAATTTTACATCAATGTCTTAGCAGGCGATGAGATCGACTTGAGAATGGTCCAGAACGGACCGAAACGTCGTCGTCCCTTCACCTTCTAGTGTGTGGTCTGGTCTACTAATGTCTTAGCATATACGGCTTCGACGGGTAAGTGGTGGACCACGGGTGAAAAATCACTGTTTTCTGCCCTATATTGTACTCTCCTAGTTGTGCTTGCGGGGGTTGAGCTCTGGCTTTTTGATCCCGCCTCTCTTCTGGCAATCAACTGGTGTAGATTGTACCTTGTTGCTGTTGTTAGCGTCCCTTGTGAGCGCTACATCTGACCTTTTAAAGAAGTGGTCTGGATTAATATCTTTAAATTTGTTCGCCGTTTTAAAGGCCTGGGTGAGAACAGCCCGGTGGTGTCTGGGGCCAGATTCACGAAGCAGTTACGAAAATACTTACGAACGTGTACATCTTTCCTCAATCTTTGACGGCTTTGGTTACATTTATTAAACAGTTTACCAGCATGAAAACTTGCCAATGAACTGTTGTTATTGTTATAAACAGCCTCCTGGTGCTTCGGAGCTCATTAACTGTTTAATAATTGTAAACAAAGCCGCCAAAGATTGAGAAAAGATGGACATTTTCGTAAGTGCTTGCGTAACTGCTTCGTGAATCTGGCCCCTGGTCTGTTATGGTGTTATTCCTGCGTCATTCAACCACTGATGGCGTGAGAGTTGACTTAGGTTCTAGGATGACCTTGTAATACAGCTTTTCAGGTAAAATGCTATCTACACATCAAGTCTTCTCTCATCCGCGTGTTTGTCTCTGATCTGAGTTGTCTTAAGACGAGTTGTGTTCATCTCTAAATGACTTAAGACGACCTCTCGTTGCTTGGGCTAACAATTTATGGTTCTGTGTTGACTTTGGGGACTTGTGTTGTAGATGGACGCAACGGCTTGACCCCCTCACGTGAACTGTGTTGTCTTGTGTTGTAGATGGACGCAACGGCTTGACCCCCTCACGTGAACTGTGTTGTCTTGTGTTCCAGGTGGACGCACTACTATGACAGAGGGCCTGGCGACGCCCCTGCGCTCCGTCCTCACCTGTCCTGGATGCTGCCGAAGGTTCGACGACCTCTCCCACAGGCCCAAGTTCCTCTCCTGCTTCCACACCGTCTGTTTAGCATGCATCCGCAAGTCCTTCTCCAGCGGCAAGGTGAGAGAGAGAGAGAGAGAGAGAGAGAGAGAGAGAGAGAGAGAGAGAGAGAGAGAGAGAGAGAGAGAGAGAGAGAGAGGAGAGAGAGAGAGAGAGAGAGAGAGAGAGATAGAGAGAGAGAGAGAGAGAGAGAGAGAGAGAGAGAGAGAGAGAGAGAGAGAGAGAGAGAGAGAGAGAGAGAGAGAGAGAGAGAGAGAGAGAGAGAGAGAGAGAGAGAGAGAGAGAGAGAGAGAGAGAGAGAGAGAGAGAGAGAGAGAGAGAGAGAGAGAAAGAGAGACACACGATGAGACTATTACATAGAGAGTTATTGATAAGATCATTACGTAAATTGAGATAGGAAGGGGGGCCTCCTTCCCAAGGGGGTGGGAAGGAGGCCTGGGGGGAGAGCTGACCCCACGAACAAGACAAGCTAATGAACCCCCCCCCTCACAAGGGCGAGGGGGGGGGGGGGGGTTCTTGGTTTGACTGTAACAGCCAGTTGGTCGTAATTGGGGTCAACCCCAATTACCTCCACCTCTCCTACCTTCATGAATGGCTCCACTCCTGTATAAGCCAGTGGATCTACCCACTTGAGTGAATCAGTGAGGCCCACACACCTGCATGAGTGAGTCAGTGGGCCCCTACACCTGTATGAGTGAATCAGTGGGCCCCTACACCTGTATGAGTGAATCAGTGGGCCCCTACACCTGTATGAGTGAGTCAGTGGGCCCCTACACCTGTATGAGTGAATCAGTGGGCCCCTACACCTGTATGAGTGAGTCAGTGGGCACCTACACCTGTATGAGTGAGTCAGTGGGCCCCTACACCTGTATGAGTGAGTCAGTGGGCCCCTACACCTGTATGAGTGAGTCAGTGGGCCCCTACACCTGTATGAGTGAGTCAGTGGGCCCGCAAACAATTGTATCCTACCAACACCACCATCCCCTCGACCTCTCCTGCAGGTGAAATGCCCGGCATGTCTGAAGACGACGGAGACCAAGTCGGCGGAGGTCCTGCCGGACAACACGCAGCTCTGCACCATCCTGCTCAACATGTCGTCCTTGAACCTGCACGAGGTGTCCACCTCGGCCCCCTCCAGGGACACCTGCACCGCTCATACCGCCCGCATCAACTTCTGGTGCGACACCTGCAGGCTGCCCCTCTGTAGGGACTGTACCGTCCTCGCCCACCGAGAGTCCCAGGGGCACAAGGTAACACACACACGCACACACACGCGTGCACACTCTCTCTCACACACACACACACACACACACACACACACACACACACACACACACACACACACACACACACACACACACACACACACACACACACACACACACACACACACACACACACACACACACACACACACACACACACACACACACACACACACACACACACACACACACACACACACACACCTCCCCCCCCCAGGAAGTGTGGTAGTGGAGGCAGATTCCAAAAACAGTTTGAAACGCTATATTATCCTTCTGCTCACAGCCTGCTACTGCCTGCCACTGAGAGCCTGCTCCAGCCTTCTGCTTAACCTGCTCCCTCTCACCACCATTTCTCACATAATCACAAGCAGGGATTGTGGCTCCACTGGCTTATACTGGAGCGGAGCCACAAATAGAGTCCTTCCTGGTCGCTCAACAAAAGGTAATTCTGCACCATTAGCTCGCGGGATACCACAGCCACGCGTCATATATGGAAAATTGTTACACATCTTGTCATTAGGAACGACTTCATTGGCCCAGCGGGGCGGCGGCTTCCCTGAGAGCGGCATCACGATATGGGGGAGGTCCCTCCTGCCTCTCTTCCTCAATGGCCTTAGCGGGTAGGCGGTTCCATGGGGTTTCTAACCCCCCCCCCCCCCCCGTATTCCGTCCTACTTTGTGGCTTGTTGAGCTTGAAACCCTTGGTTGTCCCCCTTGTATATATGTGTTACGTCTGAGCTTTTGAAGACGTGGTTTGGATCAATATCCTTCAAATTGTTCAGTATTTTAAAAAGTTTCGGTGAGATCAGCCTGTCATGTCTGGCAATTTGTATAATGATGAATTTATGATAGCTTCGCTTCAGCAATTGATATAATGATGAACTTTGTGATAGCCTCGCCCCAACACCTTACATAATGATGAACTTTGTGATATCCTCGCCCCAACACCTTATATAATGATGAACTTTGTGATAGCCTCGCCCCAACACCTTATATAATGATGAACTTTGTGATATCCTCCCCCAACACCTTACATAATGATGAACCTTATGATAGCTTCGCCTCAGCAACTTATATAATGAATAACCTTATGATAGCCTCGCCCCAGCAACTACCGTATGGGAACCAAATAATGGCGGTTTAGGGAGACTCGATTTCTAAAACAGTAACTGTTAAATTAGAATTTACTGTCACTTGCAGTAACTGGTACTCGATGCCATGTTTTGATTATACAAAAACAGCAGCAAAAAAAATCTCTCACTAGTTGCAGCTAACCTATGAGTTGCTCTTTTTTTTCTTATATAGGATCAAACCCGTATAATTGTCTTTCAGCTGTTCTGTTGCAAGCGATTGATGTGTGAAGTTGAAGTAGCTATTGACATCTTTTCAAGTCATACCGGTAGGTAATAGGTCTCCTGAGGGTAGTGACAATTCCGATTGGCCAAGAATAGGTATGCGGTCATATTGGGTACGCCATTGGAGGGTTTGAAATCGTATAAATAGATTAGGAAGCCTAGCTATTGCTGAACTATTTCCATGTTTACCTAAGCTAGAATGTAAATATCCACAGACTTGTAAACACAGGCTGGTGCTACATAGCCTTCTTTTGATAATTACTTACTTGTAAACACAGGCTGGTGCTACATAGCCTTCTTTTGATAATTACTTACTTGTAAACACAGGCTGGTGCTACATAGCCTTCTTTTGATAATTACTTACTTGTAAACACAGGCTGGTGCTACATAGCCTTCTTGTGATAATTACTTACTTGTAAACACAGGCTGGTGCTACATAGCCTTCTTGTGATAATTACTTACTTGTAAACACAGGCTGGTGCTACATAGCCTTCTTGTGATAATTACTTACTTGTAAACACAGGCTGGTGCTACATAGCCTTCTTGTGATAATTACTTACTTGTAAACACAGGCTGGTGCTACATAGCCTTCTTGTGATAATTACTTACTTGTAAACACAGGCTGGTGCTACATAGCCTTCTTGTGATAATTACTTACTTGTAAACACTGGGGAACATAATAACCTTGAAGTAGGTCTTCGGAGGCATCTTGGTACATTCTTCAAGAAGTGCTTGATGTGTGTATGTGTTTGGCAGGTCCGGGACCACGACCAGGCGGTGGCGGTGCTGAGGGCGGAGGTGCGCAGCACGGTGGGCGAGGCCCGCACCCTCCTACAGGAGACCCGCCGGCTGCGTCACGACCAACGCAAGTATCTTCTGCGTCAGCTTGACGCAGCTCGCGCCTACGAGAAGCAACTCAAGTCGGAACTGAAGACTATAGACAACGATAAGAAAGATGAGGTGAGTGTGTGTATACCATTGGTTGTGAGGAGCACATGGTGTACATGAGTGCACATCACTGGTCATGAGGACCACATTTCGTACATGAGTGTACACCACTGGTCATGAGGACCACATGGTGTACATGAGTGTACACCACGGGTCATAAGGACCACATTTTGTACATGAGTGTACACCACTGGTCATGAGGACCACATGGTGTACATGAGTGTACACCACTGGTCATGAGGACCACATTTTGTACATGAGTGTACACCACTGGTCATGAGGACCACATGGTGTACATGAGTGTACACCACTGGTCATGAGGACCACATAGTGTACATGAGTGTACACCACGGGTCATTAGGACCACATGGTGTAGTGGTTTAAGAATTTCATTCACGTTTTCATGGATGAGTAAATAAAGGAGACGTGTTCAGAGACCGGGCCGCGGAGACCTTGAGCCCCGGAACCACCCTAAGATGTATACAGTATACTTTCTTAATTTTCAGACTGAAGAAAATACTTCTATGATATGTCTTGGGATATCTTAAGCTGATGGGTATTCCCACATACGGGCTCACCATAGCCCGTGCTACTTGGAACGTTTTCTTCCAGATAGCAAATCTTTAACAACAACAACAACAGGGTATTGTTAACAAGACTCTAGTTTTATTAATAGTTATACCTTGAAGTATATGTTTCTTGGGCCCTCAACGACACTGAAGAAAGCACTAAGAATTGTCACTTATCATGTTTATCTATCACGCTCTTTCTTGAAAGGATAGGAGGACATAGATATGTAGAGTTGGTGAAGAAACAGTGCCCAACCACTTGAACCATCGGGGGATCGATCCCCGACCCTGCAGGATGCAAGGACGTCACATTACCGACCAGTCCAAGGTCTCCTGAGGGTAACAGGAAGAGGGTTAGAATATATTTGGTTCAATATTAGTTACAGTACTCGAAGGGAACTTTATATATATATATATATATATATCCTGACGTTGAATTTTGGGGGTCCAGTTCCTGAGCCTATTATGTAAATCTGTATAGTATCCGCCACTAC